TTTGGAATTGTTATGAAATGTTGTGATTATAACTGTGACTGTGATTATGTTGTAATTATAACTATGATTGTGACTATGTTGTGATTGTAGTAAAAAATTATTTTAGTATTTTGTTATTTATTTTTTAAAAGTATTATGAATGAAATATAATAGATTTTAATAAATATTAATTAAAAAATTTAAAATATTGTAAGATATATAATTATTAAAATAAATAATATTCATTATTTTTTAATAATTTATATTTTTTAGATTTGTTATTATTATTAAAATATTATAAATTATGATGTAATAAAATTAAACAAATTAAGTTTTAATAGGTAATTTTATAATTATATTAAATATTATATATTTTATGTAAAAACCATAGAAAAAAATTTTAAAATGAGATTCTTGATTTTATATATAAAATTATTATAAAATTATTATGATTTTTTACAATTTTTAAAAAGAACAATCTAAAAAATATTATCAAACACATAAATATATAAAGGCACTATACAATTACATGAAAAAAAAACTTTTAATTGTAATCCCCAACATACCCTAAAATATTTTTGTTCAATTTTAACCCTATTGAGACTTTTTAATAAGATTTGCTATTATATTATCAACAAATATCCATAAACAAACATTGACTGAACATTTTCATTATTATATTGAATTTTATTTTTTCTTCTCCTTGTCTTTTTTTCTTTTGGATTGGGATTAAGGTGGGACAATAAAGATTGAGGCAAGGCAAGCTTTGAAACCGTGAACGAAAGGAGATGAAAAGTAGGGGGAACCCTCTCTCTTTCTTTCTTCCTGTTTTTATAGTACAAGGAACATGGTTTTCTTGTTGTTCGTGAAGATGGCAGTTTTCTTGTTGCCTGACAGTTTAATCTAACATTCCCTATGTTACTTTTTTGTTGGTCTTTCAGGTAATCCAACCAGAATGACACGGCAACGGAATGCAACCGTATGCTCAAATGTCATTATTTCACAATGTGTTTCCCGAATATATTGTAATTTAAAAGATATAATCCGTTTTCTTAATTAAATAGGTATATATTAGCAATTCAAAAGCGGCACATTGTGAATAGTTTATATCTACTGTGACTGTCAATAATTATTATTTTTTATAATTTAAAATTTTTTATTTGTCTATTAACTACTTAAATAATTCAATATTAATATTTTTTCACTGAATATAAAAAATTTTAAATTTAAATCATATCAGATGTAAGTATAATAAAGTAGAGAATAAAAGAGAGTTTTTTTATCATTTTAAATTTAAATCACATCAGATGTAAGTGTAATAAAAGTAGAGAATAAAAGAAAGTTATTTTTATCATTTAATCAAAATTTAAAAAAATAAGCTTTTTATTTGTTTCATTAGTACAATAAGTTATTTCATCTATTTTAAAATAATATGTGTTATTTTATTTAATTTTTAGATTAAAGATTTAAAAATGATTTTTATTTTTATTTATTTTTATTCTTAGAAAATAAATAAAAATTTATTATACAATAAATAATTAAAATAAAGAAATAATGACAAGATTAAAAAATTATTGATTTTCTTTAAAAATAAAAAAATAATTATTATTCTAAAACAAATTTCAAATAAAAAATGTCCACTATTTTAAAATAAAAGAAGCAACAGTTAATTTTAAAGCAATTAAATCATTATATTAAATATTGATATATCAATATACTTTTTTT